AACATCACAATGAATTAAGGCAAAAGGTGTAGAAGCTTTATTAGAACTTAGAGGAAACACATCACGAGTTTGTTTAGCTCTTAAACAAATATTACACAACTCACTGGATGTTTCTTGACTAGCAAGTTTATTTTTAATAGTAGGAAGTAAACTAACAACTTGTTTTGAGGGATGTCCCATTCGCCTGTGCCACAGCTCATATGAGTCCACCTTTGCCAACCTGTATGCACTTGTCCTTGCCACACAGCGCCCACCTTTGCCAACCTGTATGCACTTGTCCTTGCCACACAGCGCCAAAGATAGACCCCATCATGCTTCTCACCCACACCAATCACTGTCCTCGAAGTGGGGTCCTGCATCACACATAATTTGTCAGAAAACGTGACTGTACATTTTAATTCATCAATAAATTGACATAGATATCAAATTGCAGTTCAAGTTGGGAACATATAAAACATGTTTTAAGTTCAATCCTTTCCCAAGCTGTACTTCTCCTTCTTGCAATGCCATCATATTCTTTCCATCAGGGAATCCAACGGCACAAGGAGCAATTTCATGCACATTCTTCAACAGCTCCAAATTCCCGGTCATACTATGAGAACACCCTAAATCAATCAACCACATTTTCTTACCCGTCAATTTTTCTGAAGTAGATTCCTTGTGAGAATTGATCATCGCCATTAATGTTGCCCATTGTTCATCATTAAGTCCAGGAAAACCAGTTTTATCGCTGGTCCATACAGCCGCAGTAGTGGTGCTGGTGCCGCAGCTTCCTAGTGTCTGGACAGCATTGACAACCGCTAAACCAGATCCTCCTCGATCTCTTTCGGTTCCCGTGCCTCAACCTCCTCGTCCTCCACGACCACCAGAGCGACCTCCTTTGCCTGCAAACCACCAATCTGGGTAGCCTACAAGCTGGAAGCATTCGAGTACCTCATGTCCAGTTTTCCCACAGTGAGAGCACGTCTTCTCATCCTTGTTTTGAGATTTGGTTCTATTTCCAGTTTGCACAGCAAATCCTACAGCCTCTGCTCATTCTTCACATGCTCGAGCCACCGTTTTGTGTCGTTCTTCTTGCACAATTATTGCATGTATTCGATTCAAAGAAGGTAAAGGTTCTGTACTCAAAATATTCGATCTAACAGTGCCATAAACTGCACTGTCAAGACCCATGAGGAATTGATGAATTTTCTCCTTTTTGCGCTCCAACGACAGGTCGGTCGTCGCTCCACACTTGCATCCACCATACGTGCATTGTGGGTTCTTCACATACCCAGCCAACTCCTCCCACATGGTCTTCATCTTTCCATAATATGCGGATACAGTCACACCTTCTTGTTTGCAATTGGCCAAGTCGCTCTTCAATTGGTGAATCCGTAGATCATTCCCGATGGCAAACCGTTCCCGAAGATCCTCCCACAGTTCCTTTGCTGTCTCCATATAGGAGATCGTAGACCAGAGCCTTGGTTCTATGGTATTGAATATCCATGCTACCAACATGGAATTCACACTATACCAATCTTCCAATTCACCAGCATCATCACCAGGTTTCGTCACATTTCCTTCAAGGAAAGCTAATTTCTTCTTTGCTCGGAACGCATTCTTCATAGCTTTGGCCCATTCATCATAGTTATCCCCTTTCAAGACAATAGGGGTCATGACCAAGCTGGGGTTGTCCTGCGAACCAAGGTAATAAGGAGATTTCGAATCAACCATAGTGTAAGTATGGCTCTGATACCATAAAGAAAATTGCATGAGTCGAAATTCAAAGGAATGGCTCTTCTGTCTTGCTTTCAATGGAGGCAATCGCCCCATATATATACAATTACATCATGATCAAAGTAGCAACTCTAGAAAATAGCAACTTCCTAAAACAATGCCTTCCTAAAACTCTATCTTCCTAAAAATCCATATGCACAATATTAGCAACTTCAACTTCTTAAAATAGCACCTTCCTAAACACAATATTAGCAACTTCCTAAACACAATATTAGCAACTTCCTAAAACAATATCTTTCTAAATATATACAATATCTACAATATCTCCATTATTTATATAAACATTTTAACGTAAAAAAAAATAAAAAAGTAAAGTCCTTCAAATAAGAAATGTCAAATGCAGCCTTAGAATTCACACTGCCTAAGAGAAGCATCTGAATAGATTCCGTCAATCCCAAGGTTAGATATCCTAATCCAACAACGGTTAAAGATTTAGGAGGTCAATCCATTGTTATCAGCATTGGAGTGAGGAGAAAGAAAACCTTATCTCAAAGACCTCCACGTGCTGTTGGAATGGCTGAAATAGACAAGTTAAGCAACATACATAGTTCACAACTAGGTCTGGTTTGTTTGAGACAAAGTGGTTTAAGTCGAAACACATTCAGAAAATTGTTTGGATGATAGGTTAACCAATTCATCAACCACAAGTTGAAAACATTGGTACGAATTATAAGATTTTAAGCCAGGTCTTTAAGCTGGAAGTAGGACTGTCAATGGACCGGATATTGGTCCACCAGCTCAACCCAGTCCAATATGGGTCCATTAAAATTGATCAGGTCTAATCCATTTTGATGAATACTTTGAACCATTTTGAACTGGTCTAAATCAATGCATGGACCATCCAATCTATTCAAATTGGTTTTAAGTTAGATTGGATCCAATCTAAACCTGGTCCATTTTAACACCCATTCTCTTATCTTCTATCAATGAATCAGATATTGGTCCAATCCAACCCAATCCAATATAAATCCATTATAGGTCAACCAGGTCCAATTCAATATATACTTTGGATCATCTAAATTGGGACTAGTCTAATTCAATATGTCTTATTGGTCCGTCCAACATAACCATTCAAAATGATTTTAATTGAGATGGGTTCAAGTCCAACCCAATCCATTGACACTCCTAGCGGAAAGTCAATAAATCCACTAATACACCATGTTTTGACTATTTATCTTTATTACATGAATTTTAAAAATAACTACTGCGGATATGTTCTTTTATATATAATAATGCTAAAATTGAATTAATCCCAATCCTTGAGTCTAAAAATTAAGAACAATTGGCAAAACAACCTAAAGCCTCTAAGTTTCTGCTTGGATTAGGATTGATTACAAACCGACCTAACCCAACCCGATTTTCACCACCTATTGTTTGAAATTGCCACATGCACCATACATACACATGCAGTTACTGCTCTATTTAATTATGAAAAAACAGGTACAACATTATATAGTTTCTGCACCCAACAAAAACAGTAAATACAGTGATTTCATGTAGTACTCAAAATCATTATTCAATATCATAGATTTGAGTTTGGGATCTGCTACCCACACATCTTCCAATATGATATACACGCACACATATCAAGTAAGACCTAATCTTCTTAAATGGCATGGTACAAAACATTTTTGAAATGTGATACTGCAGATCATGTTGAATGCATCTAAGTCTTCACACATGTTCATTCATTAATTAGTACCAAATTTTCACCAATGGCCCTTTAAAATGCATGGCCTCTATAACAATCTCAAATAAATTTTAAAATTAATTATCAAATTCTATGGCTCAACATGTTATAGGGCCAATTTCTGTTGATAACGCTTATTCACCTATATTTGGTTGTAGAAGTTTTTTATGTTTTCCTTCATTCAGTTCTATATTTTGTTTTCTTATGAAATTATTTATAGGCTTTTCTGATTAATCTTTTTGGCATTTTTTGTATCAATTTCTTGATTAAAGAAAATATAATACCTATGGGTGGTTCAAAAAAAAATGTATATATATATATGGCCAAACTCCTGACTTAGTAACCAAGTCCTGATTACCCACATGTTCAGCCCCTCCAGTCAACGCCCAAGTGTTTGAAATTAAAGTATGGCAGAATGGGAGAGCTTACCTTGCATACCACATGGTTTTGGAAATGAAATTTACTCTAAAAAGCATCAATTAATTGCAATATGGATGACCTAGTTTGATTTTTGAACAATCTGATTCATGATAGTCGTATGAATTAATGTTTGGAAGCTTCATGGACCATGTGATAAAGTAGACTGTTGTTTTTTGTTGTAGATGATGATCCCTTATTGCTCTCAGATTTAGAATTAATTAAAGTTCTAAGTGTTAGTGGCATGATAGTGAGATTCCAACATGGATAAAAATGTTGTGTTTTCTGGAGGTTCAGAATATCATTCTGATTCATGCAAATGTAAATTTGGTTTAATTTTGCATTGATAAATTTATTTTTTTGTTAAGCGATTTTTAGTTGTAGTGAATACAAACACGAATCCCGATATTGAAATATTACCCTTTTAACATCCATCAACTTTTCAGTGCAAAGTTTACATCCTTCTTCGCATTATATGTCTTGAAATACTAAAACCCTAAACTGGCACTTTCAATACATAAATGCATTCTTACCAAATATCAGCAAAACTGAACCACTTATATGCATTGAACTGGCGTTTGCACTCTTCGTCTCTTCCCAAAGGGAGCTGGTATCTGCTCCCAACAACGCTGTAAGCTAATGCTGTTTTGTTGCCAACCAGCGTTGAATGTGAAGCCTTCCCAATATGCAACCGCATCGTTAATGGAAATAACAATCTAATTCGAATCCTAATTCCAGTGGTCTCTATAATTTTGGTCAGGGATTAATATGGGAAAGGCACCAATAGGGAAAAATGTCTAATTTGAGAAGCTATTCTGATGCTCTCATTTACTCCTATAGACCACAGGAAAGGCTCAAGAGAGGAAATCAAAAAGATCATAACTAATTACTGGCCTCCTGCAGCAAGTCTCAGAAAGTCAGAAGAAAGTTTGTGTGTGTGAGAGAGAGAGAGGGGATGATCAAAGCCAACCAATTCAAGTTGTAATTCTGTAAACACAGCGTCCTGCAACTGAAAACCCAGATTGTACATTCCAAATATTTTATGATTTCTTCTCTCTGTCGCATGAGAGGGAAATGAAAGTTTAGACTTTAGAGAGATGGGTTGAACAAATCAGAAAAAAAAAAAAAAAGTAGTTTCCTATGGGCTAGCTCTTACAGGCACAAATCAACAATGAAAACTCAGCTCTATCTGGGTCCTTCTGCACCATCTTCTCCTCCAACCACAACCGGCTATCCAACCCACTTCTCGTCCTAAACATGAATACAGCGTACCCAGAGTCTGGATTGAAGAACCAGTCATGAACATCCCACATCACATCAACCAGCAGCCCATCAACAAAGAGGATCTGGTTACCCCTAAAATTCCATTGCAACATCTTAACACGGATTACCTTCTTCCTATCCATACAAACTGATAGCACTGGATGCTTCAAGCCTTCATCTTCTCCACAGAGCTTTATTAGAATGCTGTGAATTGTGCCTGTTTCGCAGAACTGAGCCTTGGTCAAATACAGTGGGTTGCCTGAGAAGTGTTCTCTTCGGGAGACTAGAGAAAATTGGGCAATCAGGTCACCAGTCCTGAACTTCTTGGCGACCATTTCTGCTCCCATGTCTCCAAGAACTATACCAAGCTCCGAGTCAGCCACGACAACCAGATAGAACCCCTCGACTGGTTCAGGCCCTGATTCGTACCTAGCTGTGAAGAGATCCCAGAAGACTTCAATCTTAGAGTCACCGGATTCCAACGTCCGGCGGCCTTTCTTCTTCCTGAATAACCGAGAATTGGTGTTGACTTTGAAGGTGGAGGATGGGTCGTCGCCGATATTGATGCTGAGACCTTGACTATTGAGGTTCTTGAACCAGGTGACTGTGATCATGAGCTGCTTCTGAGTGGAGAGCTTTATTCTGTAGACACAAGTAACTGCGTTCTGGGTGGAAGGGATCAGTGATGATGGTGGGCGACAACCTTGCATTGAAGAGGCTACACAAGAGGAGTCATTTATTCTTAGGGCGTACTCGCCCACACAAGAAGCTATATCTCTCATTGTAGACAACTCAGACGATAAGAAATGGAAATTGCAGAGATGGGTTCTTCCAATATGAAAAGAGTATGAAAGACTTGAACACAGAGAGAGAGAGAGAGAGAGAGAGATTTGTGTCACTCTCATCACTAAATGAGCTATCAAGGACTGAGTGGACAAATATGGTCAACCGACCTAAATTACATAAAACTGATCACCAAGAGTCTAGAACCCAGTCAAGATGGACCCTCCGGCTCAGTTTGATCTAACTGGACTTAGCCCACAATTAAACACTTGTTTCGACTTATCACTGGTATTAGTTGCAGTATTATATATTCAGATTAGATTAAACAAACTCCATTTCCCAACAACCAAAACAATTAACAGTTAGATAAAATTAAATAATGAAATAGTTCTGTTGTCAAGTTATTATATTTAGTTGAAGTAGTTATTTTGGTGTTAGTTCAAGATATACAGCTTTAAGAGTACAACCTAAACATGTATATAATTCTGTTTTTCTTTTTTTTTTTTTTTTACTTCCATCACTAAAGATATAGAAGGCGGCCGGTCGGCCATATTTTACCTAAAACAACAATCAAATGAAATGGAATTCCACTTAAGGAAATTCTTCTCAATTGATTTTATATATTACAAAGATAGAGAGTTCATCACCATCAATAGAAGACATTGCAGGCCAGGCAGTTTGATTTCCCCCAATTTGTTTATTATTAAATTATAAACTAAATCGAAGTTTGAAAACCTTGGATGACTAGAGTTCAACTGTTGGAAACAGCTCTCTATGTATCTGCAGGTGCATACATCTGTTCCTCCCCATACCCTGCACTGACGGGAGCCTCGCCCATTGGACCAAGGTTCAAAATATTGATACGCTGCGGTAGAGGCTTATTGGACAGTATCAGTGGTTTTTTTAGTTTTTTTTTTTTTCAAATCCAGTTCAGAGGAGCCGGTTTAAGGTCCGTTCACCCTCTGAACTGGTCAAAACTCCAATACACCTTCTGTAAAAGCATATCAGGAAGCTCCCGATATAATACATATTAGTTGATATGGGCCGATACATGTCGATATTTTGAACCTTGCATTGGACTGCTATTTTAATAAAATTTTGAGAAGACCCAAGAATGTAGCAGTACAAGACTCTTCATCAAACTTTGAATGAGTAGGAAATCGCATATATAATTTGTTTCTCTTATTTTGTTTATAAGATAAAGAAGATTCAGTGGCAATTTTTATTTTCAATGCTAACAGAAAGTGAGGAGAAGAAAAACAATAAAAGAAGCATCTTTCTTCCTGACTATCAGAGTAGAGAAAAGACAATTGATTTTAGTATACATGTAATTAACATAGTCCTCATTCAGTTATTTATATGCACCGAGGGATATCCTAGTTGGTGTTCTGGATGAATTGTTTGGGTCGTGATGTGGTTTCGAATCCTACTATTATCATCTCTGTAAGAAAGAGTTGTTGATGTAATGTTATACTATTCACTTAAAAGAGTAATGACCCCTATGGGGTGTCCGGCAGTAACTAATACAAAAAAAAATCAGTTATTTACAGACAATAAAAAATATTTAAAATATATTCAAGAGAAAAATAGAATGAAAAGAACAAGAACTGGGTATTGTGATTTTTCATTAAAATTGCCATCAACAACTAGATATACTAAAGATTAAAAAAAAAGTGTCTCAAGTCTAAGACACAGGACCCAAAAATGGGAAAATGGGGATCCACATAACTAGGCAATTTCAAGGAGCAGGATCCACCATTGAATGGGTGCAAGTAAAAACTTTCATATATAAAGAAAACAAATTGCAAAATTTACAATACTAAATGGCTTACAATCATCCGAGTTGAATATTATTTTATAAAGAACCTTTGTACATAAACGCAATAATTAAACTCACAAGGTTGTAATCATCTAGCTAGGTCAGCTGATTTTTGGATCAATAAGACCCATCAAGTGTTAGACTCTATCCTTAAAATATCCAAACATGGGGAGACCCAATCCAGACCATACGGGTCTTGTACATGTCTGTCCCCAAACCCTTAATAGTTTACTTCCCACTAGCTTCTTTAACATGAAAACTACCACAATTACCCAGCTGAGTTCTGTATCCTGCTGCTTCTTGGGGTCATAATTTATGCCCCATTGCTACATTAGGTTCTCTGGACTTGAATTTGGAGTATATAGTACTATCAATATCTATTTCTTTATTTCATTTCTTCTACTTCTTCATCAATTTAATTACTTTGTCCCCCACCTCCACCCCCATTATTTTACTTTTTTCTTTTGAAGTGTGTCTAGGCTTTGCGTGGAAGTATGTGATTGGGTTTAACTAAAGAACAGTCCAAAGCATAATTAGATAGTTTAAACTGATTACACATCTCATCAACTAATTGCATGTTAAGTAGGTTTTAGATTTGATAAAAAAAAGGTTTAAGAGCCCACAAGTTAGTCAAAATATATAAAAAGATGAAGTAAATTAGTTCCACTGATTTCATAATGAAAGGGACCATTAAAGCGATCGATCAAGATATAATTTAAATCAATTTAATAGTTCTATTGCTACTTGCAAGTTTATAGACACCAGTTCATTAATGCTGTAAACTAATAAAAAAAAGCTTAACCCAATTCCCAATATACTACCCTTTAATTCTCCAAACCCCCTCCATGAACCTTCCTTGTTAGTTCCTTATTAGTTAAGTCATATTCACTGTCATCCAAGTACTTACTCATCCTTGATCCCCAAGATTTCTGTCAAACACGTTTACATAGTAATATATAAATGGAACATGTTACAGATCTTCTGACCCTTTAGCACTATTTAATTAAATACTCAGGCAGGATTCAAAAACAGCATAGCACAAGGGTACCTTCCCCATTTAGAAGTTAAGATCAAGGTTTAATCTGTTATCACAAGGGCACCATCCCCTAATGCTATGTTCGTTTGTAGTGTAAGTTTCATTTGGAATGGTGTAAATGTATAAAAGTGCAAATGAATTGAGTGTAAATCCTGGTTTAATTACTTTTGTTTCAGATTCAACCTTATTTTGTTTGTTTGTAAGAAGTGATAATTAAGTAAATTGATGTGATCCCCAATTTATATGAAAGTGAGCGAGGGGGAAGAAGGTTATTTATTTGGGAGGAACAATGTAGGAAGTAAATTGGTGCCGTCCCCATTTAATTTATATGAGAGAATAAGGTGGAACGAAGTAGTGCAAGTTTTACATCAGTTTTTTTATGCAAATTTTGCACTGCTGATGAGTACAAATTTTGCATCAGGTAAGAATTCAAATCATAGTCACAAATAGATGCATGGATGGGAAAACTAAACCAGATTATGCAAATTTTGGATAAGTTTATTTTACTCACTTTAGGCTCTCATATCTCATGAATCAGCTAAATAATTACAGCTAAGTGCATCAACTTGAGTTCAGCCAACCTCAACCTAGCCTAACTTAAGTTGATCTTCCAGTTTGGTTGGTATCTCCATTCATAGGTTTGGATTGGACTGAACCAAAAATTTTGAACCTGATCCCTATTTAACTTAGGTCGGATCAAGGATTTGGAGAATTAACTAGACCCAACCCCAGGAGATCCAGATGTGCCAAAGCCTTATCAAGGCTAACACTTTTTTTTCCCCTCATGGCCACCTTCCCTGTTCTCCCTACCACTTAGGGATGGCAATTTCTACCTGACCCGGTGGGTATCCACCCCTACCCTATTCGATAGGGTGGATTTTTTTGCTTGAAGGATGGGTTTTGGGGTGGGGATGAGCGTTAGGATTCTACGACCCGTAGAGATAAGAGTACGGTACCGTATTAGGCTAAACCCAATCTTCCCCAACCAGCATATTATTGGAAAGCATATAAACTTTATGTATCAAGTGTTGAATTTAATAATATTTTTTAATTTTATGTAAAAGATAATTGATAGTTCATGTGTTTTCTACATGTCTTAATCAAATAATTGAAAATTTTATTGTTTATTTATGTTATTTTATTATTTATTACTTATATATGACAAGAAATAATAGGAAATTAGATACGGTCTCTAAATCCAACCCACCCTACCCTTGAATGCGGGGAGGGTAGAGTTGGGGAGGGTTTAGATTCTCAAAATCCAACCCGCTATGGGATTTGGGGTGAGTACGGGTAGGGAGGTTTAGGGAGGCAGGTAGGGTCTAGAATTTACTCCCCAAACCCACCCCGTTGCCATCCCTACTACCACTCAAGCAACAAAGTCTATTAACAAACTGTTTTGGCCAATATAGCATTGGGATCTGCTGGTGATCTACAAACATATCTGACGGAGGGTGATTTACCCCAACCTCATCATAAGGTGACACATGGGCATGACTCAGCATAAGTGATAGCTCAATGCGACCAAGTCACCAAGGTCTAGCGTGGCAGCTCGGCACCAGGATTATCCCAAACTCCTCCCAAGTAAAGGAGCCCCCGAGCTCCTCCTCAGCAAGGAGCCCCGAGCTCCTCCTCAAGAAGGGAACACCCCGAGCTAAGATTCTTCCACGGGAGCATCCCAAGCCAAGGTACTGCAAGACAGGAATCTCCCGAGCTCAAGGCACTTCGGGGTGAGCTCGAGAGCCTCCTAATGAATTTATTCTGACTCAGACCTAAGTAGGCCACCTAGGGTAGAATCACCTCAGTATGGCACCTGCAGCTCGGCATAGGGTAGCTCGGTGCAAGGTAGCTCGCAGGAAGACAACTCAGCGTATCATAGGAAGATCTCCCCTGACAACCGTACCTGCCAAACCTGGAGCCCTGCACCCACGTCTCTCACCAGGCGGCATCGTGCCTGCCAAACCTGAGAGGTGTCCCCCGCTTGATAGAGTCGTACCCTATAACAGTAACCTACGCAGCCCTAGCAAGTAACGGTTGCAATAGAGAATCAGAAGCGGTTATGTCAGATTTGACAGAGCACCGTTATATAAGAGCTCCTACCCCCAAAGAGCAAGGTAATTGCATTCGTGCTATCTGCACTCTAGCTTTCTTCATCTTCTCTGTAATTTTCTCTCTCAGAGTTCTAACTTAAGCATCAGAGTGTTCCCGCCGGGAGAGCCCCCCGGGT